GAGGTGGGGGGGGGGGGGGGGGGGGGGGGAAATCAATCGGGCAGGAGTGAAGGGAAGACAGCCGAACTGATTCTTCTCCACCTCGGCCGCTGCAGCTACAGCCGAGGAGAAGAATTAGTTTGGCTGTCTTCCCTTCACTCCGGCCACCTGCAGCTTCCTCCGCCCACCTCAGCTTTCCTAGGCTGGGAGGAAGTATGCAGCTGCTATTGGCCGGTTGGAAGTTTTTGCAGCGCGGGACCTGAAGGAAGGCTTCAGCTCTGAACATGGAGGGTACATCTCTGTACCTCCCTGGCTCCCCCCCTCCCGCTGTCAAGCTGGTCCCGGACTCTGCTGTGCCCAGTGCGAGCCCGGGACCAGCATATGGCCTCTGTCACAGGGGATCAGAGGGAGCTCAGTACACGAGCTCCCTCCGGTCCCCTCTCCGCTGTCAGAATGCGGAAGTGGTGTATATTACATCACTTCCGCATTCTTGTGTCACTCTCCAGCTTCAGATGCTGGAGAGAAGCTGATGAAGCAGATCTGTGCTTCATCAGCTTCTTCAGGGGGGTCCTAGGTGACATTAGGGGTCTTGGAGACCCCTGATGTCTCCATAAAGAGGACCTGTCACATATTTTGCTATCACATAAGGGGGTTTTCTAACCCCCCTATGTGATAGCAATAAAGTTTCCCCCCCAAAAATGTAAAGTTACAAATAAAAAAGAATTAAATTTTTTTTAAAGTCCCCCCCATACATACACGCATGCAAACAGGCGTCGGGTGCGCATACGTGTGAAAACGACGATTTCGCCCATTACGCCGCACATGTTACATATCGCCGCGAACGTCGGAATGAGAGCAATAATTGTAGGGCTATCAATCACTGATAACACTAAACTGATGAGTGGTAAAAGCTTTTAAAGCGTCACCTATGGTCAATTTTGGGCATGGTAATTTTTTGCGATTTTGCGGGTGCGCGCAATTTTAAAGCATGACATGTTTGGTGTCTATTTACCCGACGTGACCCCGCTTTTTATATTTTACCAAAAATATGGGTAATAAATGGGTGTGGTTACTGGGGGTGTGGCCACTAAAGGGTGTGGCCACTGAGGGGTGTGGTCACTGAGGGGCGCTGTAAAGCTTTCTCGCACAGGGCGCCTAAAGGCCTAAGGCCGGCCCTGGATACCCCATTAACAAACCATAAACTCATCTTCTAAACATTGGCTCACATGGTCCGGCTAGTTTGCTTTCTATTTCATAAGCTGAAGCTTAGAAAGAGGGATTACAACACAGGCTCAAGCTGGTAACCTCACGCAGTCACCTGGCACTGGGAAAACACTCAGTAGGCTTAACACAGGGAGTTATAATGCTGTCAATCAGCCTCTATGGCTGCTGTCACTGAAGGTGCTGGGGCACAGGCAGTGACTAACTGCTAACATTTTACCGTACCTGCTAAGCCAACATTTGCTGAATTTGCAATGGCAAGGGCTTCCTCTTCAGTATCGAATCTGGATGTTTGAAAAGGAAAATAAAATGAAAAGACTATAGCAACAAATACATGTATATTGTATTGGAGAGTATAGCAATTAGCATTTATTTTGTTGAGAAGACCAAAGAAAAACATTGTATACAAAAAGCAACACACCATACATGTAATTTCCTGTTTCCTTACAAAAAAAAAAAAAAGAGAGAGAGAGAGCACCAACATAGTTAGCCACTTGCTGTCCGGGGCATTTTCTTACTATTTGTGCACACATGATAAAATATAAAATTTTGGCTAGAAAACAGCTTCAGACTCACAATTATATATTTTCTGAAAGCAGAGGCTCTGTAGTATAAAAAAATGCTAGTTGCAATTTTTTATGTTGCACGGTTTTTGCACAAATGTTTATCAAACTAGTATTTTTTTAGGAAATTATAAACTAAATTAAAATTTAGTGCACAGAAACATAATATAATACCCAATTTTTTGGTAAAATATAAAAGACGGGGTCACACCGGGTAAATAGATACCAAACATGTCAAGTCTTAAAATTGCGTTCGCCCGTGAAGCCGCAAAAAAAGTAAATACCCCAAATTTCCCATAGGGAACACTTTAAATGATTTTTCAGCTCATCATTTTAGTGCTAATAGTGATTGATGGCCCTAGATTTAATGCTCTCACTCCGATGCTCATGGCGATATTATTATACAGGATTTATATAGCGCCAACAGTTTGCGCAGCGCTTTAAAATATAAGGAAGACATTACAATCACAATACAATTCAAGACAAGATGGTAAGGAGGGCCCTGCCCGTGAGGGCTTACAATCTAAATGGGAGGAGGAAGTGATACATGAGGAGGGAGCTGTGTGGGGATGAATTGTGTGAGAATGTGATGGTTAAGCGGTTAGGTTGAGATGGGATAGGCTTCCTGATGAGTCTTTAGGGAATGCCTAAAGGCAGTCAAGGTGGGCGACAGACGGACAGGTTGGGGTAAAGAATTCCAGAGGATGGGAGAGACTCTAGAGAAGTCCTAGAGGCGAGCATGGGAGGAGTTGACAAGGGAGCTGGAGAGTAGGAGGTCTTGGGATGAGCGGAGCCGACGGTTAGGGTGATACTTTGAGACGAGGTTTGAGATATAGGCGGAGGCAGAGTTGTGGATGGCTTTGTAAGTGGTTGTTAATATTTAGAATTTTATCCTTTGGGCGAGTGGAAGCCAGTGCAGGGATTGACAGAGGGGGGTTGCAGAAACTGAGCGGTTGGTCAGGTGAATGAGTCTGGCAGCTGCATTCATGATAGACTAAAGGGGGGATAGCCTGTGTAGTGTAACACATGTTACATATGTAACATGTGTAGCGCAGTTGTCGTTTTCGCAAGTAGGCACACAGACGCATGTTTGCGTGTGTAATAGCAGATAGGGTGTGATAGGTCCTCCAAAGAAGCTGAGGAAGCCGACATCTGCTTCCCCAGCTTCATCTCCTGGCTCTAAGAGCCGGAGACTTTAATAGTGACACTGGAAGTGATGTAATACACATCACTTCCGGGTCCAGTGATCGGAGAGAGTTCAGCGGCTGGAAGCCGCTGGACTCTCTCCGATCACTGCGGGGAGACCCGCCGAGCCGCTCCCGGGTGCCGCACGGGGACAGCGGTGCGCGGGGAGCCGCATGGTACAAACGACCCAGCGGCTGTACAGACGCCGGATCGCTTGTACATTAACAGCAATCGCCTGCTGTTAAAAGCAGCCGTGTTCTTGTTTTAACCACTTTAACGTTCAGCAATACGTCTATAGACGGAAGCTGTGTTCTTGTTTTGACCACTTTAACGTTCACCAATACGTCTATAGACAGAAGTGGTTAAAGCAATAAAAAGGTATAAACCTCCATAAAGAAGAAGCTTGACAAGAGGGTTTTTACATTAACAATTGGCAGACCCCTAATAAGCATCCAACTGTAATCTCCGCTTACTTAATGACAGGTGCTAGAGGTCCAAATGTTTCTTCTCTTGTGCAAATCATCTGTGGAGTAACATTGCTGATCAAAGTAGGTTCATAAAAATTCTTCCCAACACTGGATCGTTTGCCTCCCACTTCAATACAAGCACCTTGAGACACGGCATCTTTCACATGCTGATCCACCTAGGATTTTAGAAGAATGATATGAAAATAATAATCTCAGCTATAGGTCAACAGGTTAATGCTTTTCATTATTTTAAACAACAAAAATGCAATTGGTATTTCAAAACACAGTTACAAATACAGGTGATCAAAATTGATTTGCACAAGCCAGCTTCCCGGCCAATCTGCATTGAGCCAGCCAAACAGCATGGAGTCCGCTCCCTGGGCAATCGGGGCTGGGAAGGCGGCTCCATGTTCCCTCGTGGCACTGCCGGTCAGAGGAAATCTACCTCTGACTGGAAGGTCAGGTATCGGTGGTAAGTATCGGAGTATCGGCACAGATACTAGTATTGGTGTATCTCTAGTTTCAACTTATGTGTCTATTTAAAGGGCACCCATCAGTTGGAAAACAATTTGTATTAACACAACTGGGCTATAGCAGGCAACAAAACTTCCCAGTATATTTGCTTCCATTCCCAGTAATCAAAGGTTGATTTTGTTCCAAGTCAAAAGTAAGACATGGCCCCCACACATCACACAGTGCCATCGAGATGCCTTTTCTTAGGTTGGCCACATGCCCACCTTTCACTTTAGTATGTGGGGAGCTCTAACTCAGAAGAGTCAATGTCTGTACAGTAGACATTCCCCAGAATCAAGGTTTCTGGGACACAATTCAACTGACAACTTGTTTCTCCCATCATCCAGCTATGTTCGTTTTTAATTGTTAATTCTAACGTGTTCCTCTTGGCATATAAACAACTATACTACATGTAGCACATTTAAAATGCCTCAATTCCTTTATATAATTACCTTCTCTACAGCTTTTTCATTAATGAGTGGACCCTGAGTGATGCCTTCTTCAAATCCATTGCCTACATGCAGATCTTTCTTCATCAGTGCTGACAGCTTCTTTATAAAAACATCATGTATTCCTTTCTGAACCAGGAATCTGTTTGAACAGACACAAGTCTGTAGGAGACAAAATACAAGTTATGATACGTTATACTTAGACCTTGTTCACACAGGCTTCAGCTTGTTTAAGAGCAGTGTGTACAGCAAGCTTTTACAAAGCATTTGGCAAGCTTTGTGAAAGTCTTAAAAAAACTTTAAGTCCCATATGAGAATGGTAAGCATAGATGGGAGTACTGACTGTCACCTTAGACTAGGGCTGCAGCTAATGATTATTTTCATAATCGATTAGTTGCTCGATTATTTTTTCAACGAATCGATTGGTTGCAATAGAAAAACTCTCTCTTTCTCTCTCTCCCCCCCCTCTCTCTCACACAACTAATCGATAATGAGAATAGTTGCCAACTATTCTCATAAATCGATTATTATCGATTTAAATCGATTAGTTGTTGCAGCCCTACCTTAGACTAACTGAAGAAAGATTGTATAACAAGTAGTAGCACCTGCAGACATAGTACATAGTATGAAAGGAAGGAAAGACTGGAGAGAACTAAATAGTCTTGATCTAGACCAAGACCTCAAAATAGATTGAAGAATTCAAATGTATGTATAGTCAAAATGTATTTTTATAAACTTTTTAAAAAAGTAGTGAAGGCTTAGACTCCTAGGTAAGTTGACCCTATCCAATTGTGCTGGTGACCACTATCACAGACACAGAAGGTAATAGGAAATCCAAACTTTTGGAGTTGTCAACAGAAAAAGTGGTGGCGGTAAAGTTGGAGTTTACACAGTATTAGTATTAACAGGCCTCTACCATCCACCATTGCTTTGGCCTGGTGGCTGGCAACTTAAGCCCTACCAATGCATTCTAAGAGAAGAAAATCACATGCTCCCTGGTATTTCCAAGGGATTTGAGCAGCGGGAGAGCATGGGAAACGTGAGAATCATGGGTTCAGGGGCTCTCAAAAGAACCTGCATTTCTGGAAGAGCCATGTACAAAAGCACCACCCCTATCCTCCCCCTTTGCAATGCAGGCTTCCTTTGACATGAGCAATGTCTCACACCTGTCCAGAATTTCGAAATTTGGAAGCAAGAGCACCAGCTACTGCTTTGTCAACATCTGCACTATCAAAGACAATGAATGGAGCATGTCCTCCAAGTTCCATAGACACCCGCTTTATGGAATCTGCTGCATAGCGAAGCAGAATCTGTACATGGAAAAACAGAAAACATGGTCAGTCACATAATGCTTCCCACATCTAAAATCAGAAAATATCTATCCACAATGTCCACCTTTAAACAGACAAGTATTAAATAATATAACACCTGTACCTCAAGAGGTATGCAGGGTGCCATTGGTCACCTCTCCTTTAAAAACATGTTTGTTCCCTTGCTGTCATGCTAAACCAGTAGCTTTAATATTTTCTAAGTCTGTGAACTCAAGCAAGCAGATCAGAAGTTCTGACTGAACTCTTGTTCCAGGTCAGTGATTCAAAGTACTGAAGCCAGAGACAGACACATAAACATTTCTAGAAGGTAGTTAGCAGAAGCTCTCTCTATATTTCTCTTCTTACAGATATTCTCTAAAAACAGCTTGAACTTATAAATACGTTCAGAAGAAATTGCATGTTCATGTAACAGAAAATGAAATAAAGACTACCTATGCAAGGCCTTAAATATAACCTTTGGTTCTATCACTATGCCCCCCATTAGCTTGTTAAAGATACTCTGCATTCTAACACATATTAATATACATAACCCATCTGTCTTTATCAATGGAAGGTAATAGAAGGTATATTACCTTTCCTGTAGCAGTGGACCCAGTAAAAGAAATTTTGCCAACTGAAGGATCTGTGCAGAGAATTTCTCCAACTTTTGGGGCCTTCTGCCGGGAACATGGTACGACATTGTACACTCCACCTGGAATGCCAGCCTGGTGAGCAAGCTGCAATTTATACAAAGCAGATAAGTAAGCAAGCTGTGCCACGAAACACGGCAAGACATCTAACGACCTCACATAAACTATACCTCTGCAAGTGCTAATGCAGATAGTGGGGTGTCTTCTGCAGGCTTCACTATAACTGTACACCCAGCGGCCAGAGCAGCCCCAACCTTTCTTGTGATCATTGCACTGGGGAAATTCCACTGATTGCAGAGAAAAAGAAGGATTCATTACACAAACATCAAAATGGTTCCTATAAAGCAAGTAATATTTGTACTGCCATAAATAAGTAGTAGTATTTTTGCTCTATTCCTCTAGATCCATAGTAACCACGGCTTGCTGGCATAACATCACAACAGTGCATATGCCAAGACTGCCATCACTTTTTTAAAATAAATTCTTTATTTTAGTTTTCAGAAAATATTACAATATACATCAACAGAAAATATATACATGGTATGTAACAGTACACCACAAGAGAGTAATACCAATCAAGAAACATGCCGAATTCTAGTGGAGGTGAAGTGGGCGCGCAAAGCCCCTTCTCACATGTCTAGAATAGCCACGCTAAAGTATATAAGGAGAAAATGGGAGCAAGTGGTGGGCACTGCAGTCATATCAATGCAGCACTTTGCATGTTAGGTAGATAATAATACTGCACCCTATGCCCACCCTTCCCGAACAGCCAAGGGATGGAAATTGACAAAACAGATATATTTATGCACAGATAAGAGCAGAGTGGAGTTTTGATACATCTTGAGGAGGGATTTCAAAATGAAACATTAATAATGTAAAATGTTGGTAATGACAGCGTGTTACAAATAATATTAATTGAAAAGTTATACTTTTTTTATACTCTAGACAGCTTAAAACCTACTGGGGTAATGATGGTTGCAACTCCAATAGGCTGTTTAAGGGCCAAAGCTCTTCGATCTTTCAGCTGCATGGGGATTACATCTCCATATATGCGTCGAGCCTCTTCAGAGAACCACTCTAGAAAGCCTGCAGCATATACAATTTCACCAAGTGCTTCCTTTATAGGTTTGCCCTAAAAAAACAAAAAAAAACGGATTTTACAGGCCACATGCGGCAAGTGATGCGAGTGTAACAAACTATGTTACTGTGTGAACATACATTCTGATTATACATTTTTGCCTTGTAACAATACAGGTATAAATATTTATATATACTTATAGACTTACATAGGTCCAGCTTGGTCCAATGCAAGTATACATGTTTTATACCTGGTCGGCCCACGGGGATCCTGCAAAAACAATGTAGTAAATGCAGCTACAACAGTGCTTTATAACGATCTTCTGGGTACTGTATGCCACTGGACTAAGCAGCATACCCTCCACTGTGAAAACAGAGGGGCACTCGCCTGGCACAGTGGCCACTCAAGGAGTAATTTTATCAATGAATAATAGGTGTTTTCTAATTGGACGAGGGACACATTGTGATATCACTGTCCCTTGCCCAATCAAATAACTCTTAATATTTACTGACTAGGTGTTCTCTGAATGGCTATCGTGCTGAGTAAGTGACCCCCTTGTGAGAAGTTGCTCATCACGGCGAATTCTTACAATGGGCCACAGTATACATATACCCGGAGTTCAGCTTTAATGATACGGTCAAGAAGTGAAAATGTGAGTCAGATTAAATAATTACTTTCAAGTAAATGTAACAATAAGGAATTAAATAGTTGAACTCACTGATAACAGGTTATAGTTTCCCTTTAATACCTGCACTGAAGAAAACAGGAGTGTTGCCATTGCTAATCTCACCCCCTAAAATGCCAGTTGCCTTTTCGTTATGTTGAAACAGCTCGAGCAAGATCTAAATTCATTGACCTTAAACAAGCAAGACGATCAGGTGTTGCCTTCACTTGCAGCACAGTTTCTCAGTCTCAGACTTAGGAAGAATTAAAACCAGACTGCCAGACAGCTAGCATTTTCACAAGGAGGTCAGCAATTGCTGTCCACATATTTTCATCAGTAGAGCTGTTAGTACTGGAAAGGATCAACTGGCAGAAGGTCCAGTGGGTTGTCCAAAGTTAATCAAGGCTCTTACGTTTTCTGCTGTGATAATCTTGGCAAGATCTTCTTTGTTCTGGATCATCAGGTCATACCATTTGCGCAACAAGTTGCTTCGTTCCTAAGGGAAATTAAACAACAGATTTTTAGATTTATGAAGTCCATTTAAAGTATGCAGACATGTGTACACAAAGATGTGAACATGTTCTACACATAGCCATTGCAAAGACTTTTTCCCTGTAACTATTCTGCTAGGGCTGAAAGTTTTTGAGCCTTGACTGACGGATCATGTGATTGGGCACTCCTGTCAGGGGACTAACACCAGAGGCCAGTGGGGTTGGTTGTGCTGCAGAAGCCATTAAACTTGTTTTAAGAAATGCTCTCCATACACTAGAATCCCTGCATCTGTCTACATGAATCTCCTATACTATGCCAACATTAGTTGAAAGCATTTAGTAGTCACACACTGAATACATTTTCAGTCATGTGCACATCAAACATTACATATCCTCTTTAGTTTGACAAACCAATACTCCAAAATGGCTTACCTTGTTTGAGCATACCTGTTCTAATAATCCCTATGTTCTGGGTATCATCTCTACCACAAATACTTGACTTCCGTTTCAGCACCTAACTACACCACTACATGGGTACAGGACTTAGGAACTGCTATCTCTCACAAAGAATGGTGGAGTATCTGGCTTAATAGTGCAAAAAGTTTGATCAATGTTTTAGCCGTGGAAACCAATAGGTTTCTCATGCGATGATACCTCCTTCCTTCCCAGCTTTTAGGAGCTATCCCAGGTTACCTCTCCTGGTTTTTTGAGGTTTGCATTGCTGAGTACACATTCAGATACAACTGGTTGGATTGCCTTAAAAGCAAATGTTTCTGGTCACATACCTACCAATGAATCCACACCTTATTAAACAAACAGATATATCTGAAAAACTCCAGTGGAAGCCCTTTTAAATAAACATTAGTGGCAATTTACCTTTTTAAATTGGAATTCCATCTACTTAACCATGACTTAACCACTGTGAAGCAGACGATCACCAGGTCCTGGAAAAAGCAAACTATTCCCTTCGAGGAACCTAAATCCTGTGTCAATATCTGCATGACCTATGAGAAAATGGCCTCTACCTGTAATGACAGGTTGCCTATATTCCAAAAAAATCTAAGAGCCCTAGATGACACACTATTGGATGATTTTGACCGCTCTCTATTCACAATTTAAAGTAGAACTGAAGCCAAAACTTTTTTTGATACAGTAAGGGAGGGTTATAGGGGTAAGGGTCAACTTTTTTTTTACACCATCTGTATCCCATTGGGGAGACTTCCCTTTACTTCCTGTCCAAAAGCCACAACAAAAGATAATGGGAAACTCCTAGTGGTCAGCAGGATCATTACAGCTAGTTTCTCATTTATTCCTGTTCTGATGACAACCCAAAATTTGGGATTTTTTTTTTCATTTATAACAGTCATCAGGACATACAGAGGGGGCGAGTCTCCTTAATGGGGACACAGACAGCAATAAAAACCTGAAAGGTGTTCTGATCCCTCTCCATTCTATCCAAAACAAAAAAAAGGTTTTGGTTTCAGTTACACTTTTTTTCCATTTTAGACCTAAAAAGTCAGAGCCCAACCACAATGAGCTTGCCTTCCTTCTTCTTACCCATCCATTCCACCAGACCACCTCTCCCCCTTGCCCACTCTCCCCAACTGTATTTCTTACTTATCTGGTATGTTTGCTGTATAGTTTCTTCAGCTCTTCTATTCCTTGTCCCCACTGCTTTTACTGGATGGTAGCTAATATTGCGACTGGCAAAGCAGGAAATCATTTTGTATTCCCACGCTGGCTATAAGCATTGTTAGGCTGGTTCCATGCATGGTCGACTTGGTTATGCTATGTAACATCTATGCAATGCCTTTTCAATAATTATTGAAAAGAAAGTATTTACTAAACAATAGTGAATAAAAGCTGCTCCCGTACAATGGCCTCTTCATTTACTGATGAATGACTAGTAGTTAACCAAGTCCGCCCAAGCCCGTGCAAAATTGTGTCCCCCCCACCCCCTACCAGCCAAATCAGTTGCCTGGGCATCTTGCAGCTCCACATAATAAAGGGGCGAAGAATGCCCCGGCTGCATCAGGAGGTGGGTGTCACTTTTGCACGGGCTTGGGCGAATTTAGGTTGCACCATGTCCACAAACATCTCTAATGACTAGCCTGACTATTATACAGCTTCAAAGAATAAATGTGAAACCATAACTATATCAAAGACAACCAATTCAAGTTCATTAGCTCAATACAGGATTTGGAACTAAGGTCTTTTTAGTGGAAGACACAATACTGGCTATGTGCTCACCTTGCTGGGCACCTCTTTCCAGGTCTGGAATGCCCCTGAAGCAGCTTTTATTGCCTCCCTGCATTCTGCAGGCCCGCAGTCAGTAACCTGAACCAGTTCTGTGCCAGTGGCAGGATCCAGCACTGGGAAAGTAGCAGAATCAGAGGAACTAATCCAAGAGCCTCCAATATAGGCTGTAGAGCGCAACAAGGAGGTGGGCAACACACTGGCACAAGAGGAGGACATCCTGTATAATACTCTTAGGATGTTGGGAGAGGGTACATGTGAAAACATCACCCGAGATACTGAAAAGGAAAGGCCAGCAAAGGAAATGGAATATACAAGGTGCACAATAACAGGTGACTACATGCAGTAAAAATCAGTAATCATTAAATGTAATGCACTCTTCAGATGAAAAGCCAGCTTAATGATTACTGAAGGTTATCAGGACACTGCTCAGAGATCAGGTCCAGGGGAGTAGAATGCTGCCCAGTAGCCCTGCACAAAGGACACAAAATGCACTTACAATGGCCAATCACTGTACAAAGACAAAACAATGTACAGGATAGATGTATAGGAGTACAATGCAGGGAGCTGGCGAGCTAAAGGGTAAATACAAATGACAGCACAAACCCGTTGTCCCTTCACTGCACTGACAACTAAGAGCCGTGACACCGAGCGTGCGTAGGGGGTGTGTCATCGGTTTCCACCAATCACCACCCCATGGGTCTGCACGCTTCCAATCATCACGCTCCAGCCTCCGTTCTCGTCCAATCATCGTCCTAGAGTCACCTCTTCCCTCCAATCACGTCTCTCGTCTACGAGTACTGTGCAATGAATGAGCTAATAAATTAGCAAAGCGATGACAGCGCCACCTGGTGGTGGGTGGTTAACAACTGCATATCATTCTCACCATTCCAGTGCATACAATGCTTTCTCAATCTAGTACTAGTACTTAGTACTAGAATAATTTTGTCATTTTTACATGTTAAAATCTGAACCACCAAACAATGAAATAAATTTTAGTGCACACAGACACAATATAATACCCACATTTTTGGTAAAAAAATAAAAGATGGGGTCACATTGAGCAGATACAAAACAGGTCACAGGTGAAAATTGTGTGCGCCTGTGCAATGGAGAAAAACTATGGTACTCAAAACACTTTAAAAGCCTTTACTGCTCATTAGTTTAGAGTTAACAGCAAATTATAGCCCTAGAATTATTGCTTTCACTTGGGCGTTAGCAGGGACACCCAACCGGTGTGACAAAATTGTTGTTTACATGCACGTCCTACGCACACATTTTTATTCGCATGCAGATGGCAGGAGCGGAGGGGTTGGTTTGAATTTTTTAAAATGTATTAATGTAATTTTTTTTTACTTTAACACTTTAAAACATTTTTCACTTTAACTTTATTGCTCTCACAAAGGGCCTAACAAGCCCCTGTGCCATAGCAAATTAAGGTGACAGTTTCTCTTTATGGAGACCTCTGGGGTCTATTACACCCCGAGACCTCAGCGAATCTGCCGCTCCAGGCAAACGCCTTGTTTGCCTCGCAGCAGATACGCCGCTGATTATACCCCAGATGTCTCTCCTGCCTTCCAATACAGACAATCAAGCGCAGCAATGTGCTTGATCGCCTGTGTAACCCGCACTTCAGCTGGCTTGACAGCTCTCCCTGCCTCATCACAGAGCAGATCAGGGAACAGACGTTCCTCGGTCTGCTTCCATTCTCCATCCTGACACCGTCAGCAATGGTACCAGGCACCCCAAAGGAGTGTACAGCCACCCAGATCACTTGTAATTAACAAGCATCACCTGATGAAAAAAAGATGCATCAGCAGCCATGATCTTGGTACAAACCACTGCAGGATGAGGACATATATGTATGTGTGGTGGTCTTAAAGTGGTTAGAGAAGAACTTTGGGCATGTAGAAAATTAACCCTTGCAGTGGAGCTACCCCACACTACAAGGGTTAAGTATTCGTTTTGGTCTAGGATGTAAAATCCCGCGACAATCATCGCTCACCTGTCTTCTCCCCCTCTCCAGATGTGCAATGTCCTTTGGTGTCCTCACGTCCAATGCAAGAGGATATCACAGCGAACAGTTAGTTGTGGATGTAAATATAGGAATGGCATACTAGTCATATTTGGCTGGTCTATATGACAAAATTATTTCCAGCAATGATAATAAAAAGAAACAAATATTAATAATGGCCAGAAAAGTAGTTCAGACTTTGAACATTGAAGTTTTCCTCATATCAGTGGTCAGTGGAAAAGTACTTAGTTACATTGATGATCAATGGAGAAGTGGCCCTTTCATTGGTGGGCAGTTTAGGGCCCCCTTACATTGGTGGACAGTGGGAAGAATGCTGTTAATAGTAATCAGAAATGGCAGATTACTTATGAAACCCCTGGCAACTGCCGAAGGAACCCTAGGGTTCCATGTAACTCTGGTTGAGAAAGGCTGAGTTAGTATGTTTTCATTGCTTCTAAGTGGTCCTCTTGTGCTACCTATTATCAATCCTTGTTTTCTCCTCATCTTCCTTTATTTGCCCTAATGTACAGACCATTATAAACATGCACTATTTATTTAACTATATAAAATGTTAGGACCTCTGTCAATGGGTTTCATCAAAACTGCATCTCTACCCATAGAGGCTAATGGAATGCAAAAAAAGTTTAATGCAGTTTAGAAGGAGATGGAATACAGGTCAGAAGGAGGCAACTGGAGGTTAAATGCATTGTCAATGAACTTCTCAAACTGATCTCAAATGAAAGAAGAATGCATCTAAAAGCAAGCTGCATTTGTCCATCAACACAAGCCCAAAGCCCATTAACACAGACCTCTTTACTAGACTAACTCTATCATCCAACCACTTTAGATCATTACCTTAGTACAAACAGAATGCAGGGGTTTTTTTTAGTTGCATACATTTGCAAAAATATGAGGAAGCTACATTGCCATGTCACATCTGATGAGTGTGGTCCCGAACTCTACACTTATTTTCCCAATTATGGAAACATATATAGCAATGCAAAACAGAGAGCAGGCTCACCTGGGGAAATCCCTATCCTCTTTAAAGGCATGGACACACACCAGAAGCCCAGTCATTAACTTTAAAAGGCAGCTGAAGACTTCCAGTGTGTGTCTGCGCCAAATCCCAAAAAGTAAATATGGCAGCCTCTCAGATCTGTTTAACAATAGCAAACAGGGAAAGATGGGCAGGGCAATATACAAAACAGAGGAGGTCTCCAGCACACTTTTATGCTAGCCTACAAAAAACCTTACTAATCTACTTTAACTACTTAAGTTACGACCAGAGGTTTTAGTGGCACACATGTGCAAATATATGGGGAAGCCACACTGCTGCTTCAAGGCACCTCTGATTTTTTTTTTTTTAGATCATCACCTGTCCCAGAAAGACAAATACAACCGTAGAAGACTGTCTTCCAGTATCTATGGGTACCTTAATGTAAACCTGTCACAATGTAAAAGTAGCTATACTGGCTTCAAAAAAGGAAAGCAAGTACTTACATGTACCTTTGAAGAGTTAAAGATGCTGTTAGGAAATGCTAAAATATGTCTATGATTTTTTACCTTACTAAAGGTTGGCCAGCACACTGTTAATACACTGCTTGTACTCCCTGGGAGACCCCAGCTAGCTCAGTAACCATTTTGTTGTATCAAAAGAAACAAAATAATGCAGGGTTTTTTTTGGTAATACTAAAAAACTTTTCTGTCAATATTGCTGTAACCACACAAAATTCCAAAGGTTGTTCGGCTAACTGTGTACAGCTCTTTCACCCGTCATGACACATGGCATGACAGTTTAAAAAGGATGGCTGTATACATTGCATTCTTGGCAGTTTATTTTTTTATGCTACAACAAAGTGAGCCGTGTGGTCTTTCAACACACATAGAGATAGGTAAGTGAAATGACTACTCTGTCTGTCTAATATCTGACAATTAAACTGGCACCATCTAGGAAACAGTGATGTACCAGGGAAACAGAACTTACATAAACTTCTATATTATTATTATTACACAGGATTTATTTAGTGCCAGCAGTTTGCGCAGCGCTTTATAATATAAGGAAGATGTTACAATTACAATACAATTAAAGACAAGATGATAAAGAGGGCCCTGGCCATGAGGGCTTACAATTTAAAAACATATTACTTCCCTATAAATAGATTGTGTTGTTGTTGTTTAGTAAGCATCAGTCCACTTGATAAGGATATTAAAGTCTAAAGGTTTTAAAAGGGTATCTAAATCCAAAAGCAAAAATGTAATATAATACCCTAAATGTGGTTGCTGCATTCGTTTTCTTTTTTTCCTTTATTTTCACCTTTTGAGCCAGCCAGTAAGTCTTATTTTTCTGCTTCCTTTAACAGATCAAGATGTCCACCAATAGTGGCAGATAGAGGGTTGAGACCACTGGCAGGGGTGCTTACAATGTTCATCTTTTATTTATGTAAAATATTTATCCCAAAAGGAAAATAAAACTGTAACTGCTTAAAAAGTGTTATCTGGAGTTCGCCTTTAATTTGTTAGTAAAGTCCATGCTGCTGTCCAAGGGTGACTACATTGCTCCTCCATAGAGTGGAGACACCCTAAGAGAGGAAGTGTGTTACTGGCCGGATCACCAGGTGAAAATAAAAGGAAAAAAGCCTTAAAAATAAAAGTAATGCAGTCATCACATCCAAGGATTGGTTAGCTGCACTATGTTACAATATTGTTTTGGGGTTTAGATGTGCTTTAAGCTATTTCAAAGGCTGATAAAGTCACATACAATGGCTGCTACTCCTTGATGTTTAAAAATATTAGTTTCCTGCAGAGTCAGATGATCCCCTGAGCACTGGCTCTGATGTCCAGTTTTTGGATGTCTCCTTTCCCCTGCAGGGTCCTATGAAGCCACCTCTGCGTGTACTTGTAAGTTCTGTGTCGTCACAAACACAAAGGCACAGCAGGGCAAGCTGCTTCCCAGCTTCCCCCAACTCCCTCCTTCACCTAGTAGATGGATGGCTGCTGGAGACTGCTCTGTCTCTTGTGATTTTGTACTGGGCAGGAAGTTCAGGGAAGCCGCGAGAGTTGGAAAAATTATGACTGTAAATGCTTAAGTAAAAATGTGAATAAATTGTTTTAGGCCTGCGGAAATTAACGATTAATCCCTCGATTAAACGTTAATTTTTTTGATCGATCAAAATTATTTTGATCAGTACTCACCTCTCCGCCGGCACGGGAGTTCCGTCGGAGATCCGGTGACCTCACAGACATCGACGTCACCGGACTCCTCCCCCCTTCCCCAAGTGGCTCTGTTGGCTAACAAAGGGAAGGGGGGAGGAGTCTGGGGACGTCGATGTCCGTGATGGCTAACAAAGGGGAGGCGGGAGGAGTCCGGCGACGGCGATGTCCGTGACGTCATCTGACTCCTCCCCCTTCCCTTCGTTTGCCGACGGAGCCACTTGGGCCGGTGATCTGTCGACACTTAACGAGTTCTGCAACCGCCTGACTTCCGGTTTCGTTACAACTAAGAGGTTTGCCCAAGAAACTTGTTCTGCACAAGCGCCAGCCAAGGCATTGGCCTATACACATACAGCACAGCAATGAAGTAATAAAATGAACTAGGATCACACTAATCCAGCACGTTGTTATTCTGAGTTGCCCCACTCAAGTGGCGGCCATATTGAGTGGGGCATGTGAGATTAATATCGTGCTGGGTTAGTGTGATCCCAGTTCATTTTATTACTTCATTGCTGTGCTGTATGTGTATAGGCCAATGTAGTTGGATCTGTATGTGCATTATAATTAATCGAAATTAATCGATTAAAAGAAATTCGATTAATCGAACACAAAAATTTTAATCAGTACCAGCCCTAATATATTTATATTGTTTGATCTGGATTCATTTTTGAAAAAAAGGTTTGAGAGTTTAATACTACTTAGAATTGGATCTAAAGCCTGTAAAAAAAATCATTGATGGCAGGTAGACTTTTGATTATTAAATCTGCGTTATTAAATCTTTTTTCTGGTGCGCCCATTGAAGTCTATTCATGCCAAGACACTTGAACCTGGCCTCAAAAGAAGCTCATGTATGTTTTTGAGCTACAGACGTTTTGCTATAAGAGACAAAATGCTCAGGTGTGAACAGAGGCCAGTGAAAACATTGGGTTTCTTCCTGTTGAGTTTTGTGGCGCCTTGAAGGCACTCGAGCTTCAAAATGCTCAGGCAGGAATGGGGCCTAAATGAGATTTGTGAAAATGTTATCTTCTTTGATTTTTTTTTAGCACACAGAGCTCTGGAGTATTTCAGTCAGAATGAGAGAAAAGTTAACTACAGAGAGGTACATTTATCCTATTTATTTATTGAGCTACTGTACTAGAGGTACCCATATACCAGCAGATTCATCAGCTGGTTTTTATCATCAGGAGACAGAAACACGGCTCTACAGTAGAACTCCAGCCAATTTTTAAAATTTTGTATAGAATAAGACAGGCTAATAACCCCAGTCCGTTTTTATTGCCATCTATCTCCCGTTGGTGAGATTTCTATTCACTTCCTGTCCAACAGCCACAACAGGAAGTGAGAGGAAATGCCTCTAAAGAGAGGGAAATCCCTGGTGGTCAGCAGGATCACCAGAACTAGAGTCCACATTGGAAGATTTCCCATCTATTCCTGTTCTGATAGCAACCCAAGATTTGGCATTTTCCTTCACTTTCAGTGATAAAGGTCACCAGGACAAATAGAGAGGGTGAATCATTCTAACAGGAACATAGACCACAATAAAAACCTGACAGGTGTTGTTATCACTCTCCACTCTATCCAAAACTAAAAAAAGTTTGGTTTCAGTTGCAGTTTAATATATCTGAATATTCAGTGTAAGTGGTCTTATAATGATCATATATGAAGGGGCATTTTCATGAGGCTGTGCAAAATCTGACTGTTGCCAATTTAATATGGACTGGCACAGGACATCATTTTCTCCCCATTAACATAACAGTTCTAAAATGTCTGAATTTGGCATCATAGTTTTCCTATATGGCGTTATGTGCATTTTTACAGGGTTATTCAGAAAAGGGTGAAGGGTTTGGAGAAGGCAGGAGAAGTGAACAATCTAGGACAAAATAGCTGATTTTGAAAAATTCTCCAATTCAGCTTATTTTCCAGTTCAGCTATGTTGTCCTAGATTGTTCACTTCTCCTGCCTTCTCCAAACTCTTCACCATTTTGTGAATAGCCCTGATAGTTTTTAGGTAAGGGTCATTTAACTTTTTTAATTTACGTTTAAACGTTTCTGTCAATCAGAGAACAGAACATTTGTTATCATACTACTAGGGAAAGTAGAGCCATAGACCTTGTTACACCCTCCAAGGCAGCACGTGCATTGCGTTAAGTGAGCACTAACACGTTAAAAGTGTGTGTGTGTGTTTTAAAGTGCTTTGCATTATACATTTCTCTTTTTCTCACAGCAGGAGCCAAAGTACTTTTTTTTTGCGTTTGCAGTGTTTTGGGATGTGCTGTAACACTCTGCGCTGCATTTCAATGCAGCACGTCCTATTCTCACCCAGCACACACCAACACAGCATTGGAACAGTGGAACCAATGTATCTTTTACTGTGATTATAGTGTGCCAGCCCAGCGCACATGATGTAAATGAGCCCTTACACACATCCAATTGCTCTCTCCACATATCATTTAAACAAAACTGCAGAAGAGAATGCAGATTAAATTGTAAATGGTTCTGCAGGGGCAGGACCTGACAGCTTTGTACAAGTGGATATGGGAAGGAATAGGGGGCTATAGCTGGCTCTGAAGAGAGATTTGGAGAGACCTAAACATTGTTGCTAGCTGCAAATGATTGCCATAAGTGATAGAGAGTAATGTGGCGAGCTGTGATTGGTTGTCGGGAGTGATACAGGGTACTGTGGTAAGATGTGGTTGGTTGTCGTAAGTGATAGAGGGTACTGTGGCTAGCTGTGGTTGGTTGTTGTAAGTAGTAGAGGGTACTGTGGCAAGATGTGGTTGGTTGTCGACAGTGATAGAGAGTACCGTGGCTAGCTGTGGTTGGTTGGCGTAATTGATAGAGGGTACTGTAACTAGCTGTGGTTGGTTGTCATAAGTGATAGTGGGTAGTGTGGCTAGCTGTGGTTGGTTGTCATAAGTGATAGAGGGTAGTGTGGCTAGCTGTGGTTGGTTGTCATAAGTGATAGAGGGTAGTGTGGATAGCTGTGGTTGGTTGTCGTAAGAGATAGTGGGTACTGTGAATAAGCTGTGGTTGGTTGGCATAAGTTTATAGCGTGTACTGTAGCTAGCTGTGGTTGGTTGTCATAAGTGATAGAGAGTACTGTGGCAAGATGTGGTTTGTCGTCGTAAGTGATGATAAATGGCACTGTGGCTAGCTGTGATTAGTTGTTTTAAGTGATAGAGGGTACTGTCGCCAGCTGTGGTTTGGTAGTCATAAGTGATAGAGGGCACTGTGGCTAGCTGTAGTTGGTTGTCTTAAGTGATAGATGATTCTGTGACTAGCTGTGGTTAGTTGTTGTATATGGTAGAGGGCACTGTGGCTAGCCGTGGTTAGTTAGCTGTATGTGTATAGGCCAATGTAGTTGGATCTGTATGTGCATTATAATTAATCGAAATTAATCGATTAAAAGAAATTCGATTAATCGAACACAAAAATTTTAATCAGTACCAGCCCTAATATATTTATATTGTTTGATCTGGATTCATTTTTGAAAAAAAGGTTTGAGAGTTTAATACTACTTAGAATTGGATCTAAAGCCTGTAAAAAAAATCATTGATGGCAGGTAGACTTTTGATTATTAAATCTGCGTTATTAAATCTTTTTTCTGGTGCGCCCATTGAAGTCTATTCATGCCAAGACACTTGAACCTGGCCTCAAAAGAAGCTCATGTATGTTTTTGAGCTACAGACGTTTTGCTATAAGAGACAAAATGCTCAGGTGTGAACAGAGGCCAGTGAAAACATTGGGTTTCTTCCTGTTGAGTTTTGTGGCGCCTTGAAGGCACTCGAGCTTCAAAATGCTCAGGCAGGAATGGGGCCTAAATGAGATTTGTGAAAATGTTATCTTCTTTGATTTTTTTTTAGCACACAGAGCTCTGGAGTATTTCAGTCAGAATGAGAGAAAAGTTAACTACAGAGAGGTACATTTATCCTATTTATTTATTGAGCTACTGTACTAGAGGTACCCATATACCAGCAGATTCATCAGCTGGTTTTTATCATCAGGAGACAGAAACACGGCTCTACAGTAGAACTCCAGCCAATTTTTAAAATTTTGTATAGAATAAGACAGGCTAATAACCCCAGTCCGTTTTTATTGCCATCTATCTCCCGTTGGTGAGATTTCTATTCACTTCCTGTCCAACAGCCACAACAGGAAGTGAGAGGAAATGCCTCTAAAGAGAGGGAAATCCCTGGTGGTCAGCAGGATCACCAGAACTAGAGTCCACATTGGAAGATTTCCCATCTATTCCTGTTCTGATAGCAACCCAAGATTTGGCATTTTCCTTCACTTTCAGTGATAAAGGTCACCAGGACAAATAGAGAGGGTGAATCATTCTAACAGGAACATAGACCACAATAAAAACCTGACAGGTGTTGTTATCACTCTCCACTCTATCCAAAACTAAAAAAAGTTTGGTTTCAGTTGCAGTTTAATATATCTGAATATTCAGTGTAAGTGGTCTTATAATGATCATATATGAAGGGGCATTTTCATGAGGCTGTGCAAAATCTGACTGTTGCCAATTTAATATGGACTGGCACAGGACATCATTTTCTCCCCATTAACATAACAGTTCTAAAATGTCTGAATTTGGCATCATAGTTTTCCTATATGGCGTTATGTGCATTTTTACAGGGTTATTCAGAAAAGGGTGAAGGGTTTGGAGAAGGCAGGAGAAGTGAACAATCTAGGACAAAATAGCTGATTTTGAAAAATTCTCCAATTCAGCTTATTTTCCAGTTCAGCTATGTTGTCCTAGATTGTTCACTTCTCCTGCCTTCTCCAAACTCTTCACCATTTTGTGAATAGCCCTGATAGTTTTTAGGTAAGGGTCATTTAACTTTTTTAATTTACGTTTAAACGTTTCTGTCAATCAGAGAACAGAACATTTGTTATCATACTACTAGGGAAAGTAGAGCCATAGACCTTGTTACACCCTCCAAGGCAGCACGTGCATTGCGTTAAGTGAGCACTAACACGTTAAAAGTGTGTGTGTGTGTTTTAAAGTGCTTTGCATTATACATTTCTCTTTTTCTCACAGCAGGAGCCAAAGTACTTTTTTTTTGCGTTTGCAGTGTTTTGGGATGTGCTGTAACACTCTGCGCTGCATTTCAATGCAGCACGTCCTATTCTCACCCAGCACACACCAACACAGCATTGGAACAGTGGAACCAATGTATCTTTTACTGTGATTATAGTGTGCCAGCCCAGCGCACATGATGTAAATGAGCCCTTACACACATCCAATTGCTCTCTCCACATATCATTTAAACAAAACTGCAGAAGAGAATGCAGATTAAATTGTAAATGGTTCTGCAGGGGCAGGACCTGACAGCTTTGTACAAGTGGATATGGGAAGGAATAGGGGGCTATAGCTGGCTCTGAAGAGAGATTTGGAGAGACCTAAACATTGTTGCTAGCTGCAAATGATTGCCATAAGTGATAGAGAGTAATGTGGCGAGCTGTGATTGGTTGTCGGGAGTGATACAGGGTACTGTGGTAAGATGTGGTTGGTTGTCGTAAGTGATAGAGGGTACTGTGGCTAGCTGTGGTTGGTTGTTGTAAGTAGTAGAGGGTACTGTGGCAAGATGTGGTTGGTTGTCGACAGTGATAGAGAGTACCGTGGCTAGCTGTGGTTGGTTGGCGTAATTGATAGAGGGTACTGTAACTAGCTGTGGTTGGTTGTCATAAGTGATAGTGGGTAGTGTGGCTAGCTGTGGTTGGTTGTCATAAGTGATAGAGGGTAGTGTGGCTAGCTGTGGTTGGTTGTCATAAGTGATAGAGGGTAGTGTGGATAGCTGTGGTTGGTTGTCGTAAGAGATAGTGGGTACTGTGAATAAGCTGTGGTTGGTTGGCATAAGTTTATAGCGTGTACTGTAGCTAGCTGTGGTTGGTTGTCATAAGTGATAGAGAGTACTGTGGCAAGATGTGGTTTGTCGTCGTAAGTGATGATAAATGGCACTGTGGCTAGCTGTGATTAGTTGTTTTAAGTGATAGAGGGTACTGTCGCCAGCTGTGGTTTGGTAGTCATAAGTGATAGAGGGCACTGTGGCTAGCTGTAGTTGGTTGTCTTAAGTGATAGATGATTCTGTGACTAGCTGTGGTTAGTTGTTGTATATGGTAGAGGGCACTGTGGCTAGCCGTGGTTAGTTGTTGTAAGTGATAGAGTGTTCTGTAGCTAGCTGTGGCTAGTTGTCATAAGTGATAGAGGGCAATGTGACTAGCTGTGGTTGGTTGCCGTAAGTGATAGATGGTACTATGGCTAGCTGTAGTTGGTCATCGTTAGTGATAGAGGGCACTGTGGCTATCTGTGGTTGGTTGTCATAAGTGATAGAGGATAGTGTGACTAGCTGTGGATGGGTTCTGAATTAACCTGAGACATTGTGACCATACTGGATAAAAACCAGTAGGAAAAACAGAAGCATGTTTAGGAGTCTAACAAAGTGCATTGCCCCTTTTAGAAAGGCTTTATATGACTTAATGCAAAGAATTACTATTATGTATAATTCTCTATGTCTGTTTCATATTACCAGCTGCTCCAGAAGCATCCTGATGCATATCAGGCTGGCAGTGTATACCCTGACGCCTTTTATCAGGGCCTCTGTATGCAAGGTAAGTGGAGCAAGCCTAAAGGCTAACACTAACCAAAATGTGCAATACATTCTAAAGTTGAACTCTGAGATAAGCAAATATTGTCTAAATACAAGTTATGTTTATTCTTACTTGAATCTGGGTGTGCTTTGTGTATTTCTTCCAGATCTGTGCAGTATGAAACTTTATCTTAGTGCAGGAGCTTATTTTAATACTGACCAGTCACTACTGCTCCCTTTCCTTGTGCAGGGTGACTGGTCTTTCGATTCGGAACGAAACGAATCGCACATGTCTACCCAGCCCTGACCTATGAGCTTATCTGCCCACAGCCCCCAGGGACCTACCTGCCAGTCACATGTTGTTTGTGGCCCTAGCTACTTTTTTTTTTTTGTTTTAACTTGGGGGAGGGTCCCTCCTAACATTCCTACCAGACATAAAGGGTCTGGTATGAATTGGGGGGGAACCTCACGCTTTTTTTTTTTTTCATCTTCTGCAGACTGTTAAAAAAAAAAAACATTTTTTTTTCTAATGTCACTTTGCTGCTAATGAAATTTCGTCCAATAAACGACATTTCGACCGGACTACCGCTAACGAATTTCATCCAAATCCGAATCCCGCAACAAATTCAATCCGGAAAACAAAATAACGCAAAATCCGAATCAAAACGAAACGAAACTAAACACATTTTTTGCTGGTGCACATGTCTAGGGCTGGGCATTATGCATCTGTCTCTGGGAGTCATGCCTGTGGCTGTGAGAATCTTGCAGTGCCTCATGGGATATGTAGTTCCACAACAGCTGGAGGGCTGGAGTTTGCCCAGGTCATGTAAATGTATAATGGGGTCATTGCAGTGATTATGTTACACTGAGAGTGGCTGCTTTAGATAAATATTACGTCACGGAATTGGTCTTAATAATTATATTTGTATCATTAATGTTTCACTTGCTTTCTTCAGGAAAATATCACTACGTATCAGAAGATTCACACTGGACACCTTTTTTGAAAACCAGCATTAATTATATTAGAAGAACATATCCGCTGCCATGGGATCAGGTACAGTTGCTGAATGCTATTGCTTTACATGGCAATAGACAAAAGTGAGCTGAACTCCGGAATGAGTAAACCTTGTCTAAATATAAGAGGCATGTGTATTCCTGTTTGAATCCTGGTGTGCTTTGTGTATTCCTTCTATATCTGTGCAGTAATCCGGTGTGAAACTTTCCCTCTGTGCAGGAGCTTCCTGTAATAAAGACCAGTCACTGCTGCTCTCTCTCTCCTTGTGCAAGGTGACTGGTCTTGTCTCCGCCCCTCCTGTAGTTTTCTGCAGATAGCCCGTAGTGGGTTGGGCCTGCTGGGACACTCCCACAGATGTGATGTCTGCACAAGCTATGTGCAGCTAAGTGATGATGTCACTGCTACGTTTACAAAGTAATATTTGGGTTCACAAAGACAAAACGTGGATTGATATCCTTTGTGGCTATTAAGGAATATATTAACCAGTTGACATCCGCGGTGTTAAACCCCCTTCCCATCCAGGCCATTTTTCAGTATTCAGCGCTGCGGTACTTTAACTGACATTTATTCCGTCATGCAGCGCTGTACTGAAATGAATTTTATATCCTTTTTTGGGGACAGATAGAGCTTTCTTTTGGTGGTATTTATTCACCACTGGGGGTTTTATTTTTTTACTATATTAAGGAAAAATTACCGAAATTTAAAAAAAAAAAACAGTTTCCCCTATATTAAATGATAAAACATTTATTATTACCCAATTTTTTGGTAAAATATAAAAGATGGGGTCACGTCGGGTAAAAAGACACTAAACATGTCAAGCCTTAAAATTGCGTGCGCGCGCGAAACCTCAAAAAACGATAATACCCAAAATTGGCCCTAGG